TTTTTCTTGGGTTTCTTTGAGGGTGGGGAGGAGTGTTAGGTCTTCTTTTCCTTTTTAATCTGGGTGGATTCTTGGTTGGATTGGGAATTCTATATCTGAATATTACTGAAAAGGCCTTGGGCTTCTTGCATTTATTTTTGGTTCTGCACCAGTTTTGCATTATCTCATTTGGGTATTAAACAGTTTCAGAATTAGCAATGTAGAAAGGAAAACCAGATGTGTGTGCTCCACAAAACAGTGCTCTTAGCCCCTTAGTAGGTTGCTTTATATGTGTGCCTGGGCCATTTTTCTTTTGGAAAATAATTGGCTGTGCTTCAGAAATGTAGAACCCTCTGAATGAAGCTGGGGTGTGGCCCCCCACCCCTGAGTGCCTCACAGACGATGTGCTGCCCTTTGGGGAGCCCCACTCAAGTGAAGCCGCAGGCTCGCAGTGGCTGGCAGCCAGGAGGTGTTGCCTCTGGCTACTGGCTTGGAAGCTCACTGCATTCCAGTTAGATCTTTCTACATTTCAGAGCCTGTTTGGAAAAGGTACCAAACAGAAAATGAGCAGGAAGAAGGAGCTGAAAGCTCATTTTGGGAAATGAGTAGGAATTCTTCTAGGCCAGCTTTGTGCCACAGATGGGGCTGTGGTGAGATGAGCAGGAGGCAGCCTTAGGTGCTCTCCCAGTGCTGGAGTCAAGGTGTTGGAGCTGAGCAGCGAGGCTCCTGCTGAGGCCTCACGTGGCCGAAGTCCCCTGGGCAGGTTTCTCTGCAAGGTCTGGAGTATGAGGAGGGGTCGAGTGATAACTAAGTGGCTGGACGGTCTTTTCCTCTAGTAGTTTGCGTGTTAAATGTTTAACTCATTTCTGATCACTGAACAAAACCAAATCAACGTGGAAATGTTTAAAAAGCATAGCATTTTGAATGAATTCGCAATGGAGAACATTTTCCTATTTTTATTTTCATTTACCAGCCAGGCTGGTAATGTGCCTATCTTCACTATTATAATTCTGCACAATTAGATTCTGAGGTTCCTGACATTATAATTCTTAAGATTTAATCAGCTGTGTAGATCATATGAGAAGTCCCTTTATTGGCTTAATGCTGACAGGGGAAAATCTATCTTAGGATACTGTAAAATGCCTTTCATTTAGAGAGGGTAGTGGCTCATCGCCAAAACCAGAGTACAGGCAGAACCTTTTTGGAAATGAGTTCCATGACTTCATAAGTTTCCTTTAAAAATTGTTATATGATTTGACCTCAAATTCACTTATTAAGGGGTCTTTAAAATAAACTGTGACTATATTAAAATATCTAACATTTTAGCTTAGTATTTGAAAACATTGCTTAGATTTTTAAAGTTTAGTCCAGGATCTAGAAATCAGTGCTGAGTTAGGGCAGGCTTGGTATCACAGTCTGTACCGTCTCTCACTTTCACCCATGAAAAGGGACAAGTGGCTGTGTGGTTTTGAGGATTTCCTACCAGGTCTCTTACACTTTTGTCTTTTCCCCATTTTGATTTGTTCTAGCGGTTGTGGGGCAGCATTGTTGCCCAGCACAACCTCTGACCTGAACCACACACCTCCACTGAATGGAATGTTGTTGCCCTCATTATTTTTTCCTCACCTTTGCCACTGGGAATAAATGACACTTGATTGTGCCAATTAGACATGAGGTGTTGCACTGGGGGGACATGAGGGCTGGTAAGCAAGAACATTGCATGGACATTCCTACATGGGACTACTTCATAAAACGTTCTCGGATGCCTGTAAGCCAGAAGTGAGTCTGCTCACTAAGAGATGCAAACACAGATGCCACAAGAACTGTGCCAGAATCCAAACCAGCAGGTCCCCCACTCGCAGTTGTGTTGTCTTTGACTTGAAATAAGGTCTGGTGGGACACGGGGCCAATTAATGCCACATTGTCCGTCAGTGTTTCTGCAGTGGCTCCACTGCTGAGCTAGAGGTTTGGAATCTCCAGATTCCTGAGAACGTAGCTATACATTAAGTAGTGCAAAGAATTAACAATTTGAGAAATGTTGTGAAGATGGGGAACGAGGAAAGATGGCATAGAAGTCTTGAGACAGAGTGGTACAGTCATTAACTTCAGACTTACAGATCAGGGTGAAGCTACCTGTGAACAGGAGGAACTGGTGGCCCCCTCCCAAAAGAGGCAAAGGGATGAAACACAAGCTAGCCACTGCCGAACCTTCTGATGGACAGAGGCTCCTAAAACACTTCCATGACTAAACAGCTTCGTGTCTTCCTTTCTTCAGGTCCCAGCTAGTTTTTCTTGATTAGAGTCCTTTGAACTGTTCATGTTGGGAGTTTGTTGAGTAGAGAGCATATAGAGCTGCTTGCTGAAAGGACCTAGGGTGCCCTTTCTTAAAAAACGATGCTTTCCCAAGCCACAAGGAGACTGATGCCCAGCAGAGGCCCTCTGGGCCATGCAGAGGGGACTCGGATTCTCAGCTTTAGAACTGAGGGTTGTGGGTGTGCTTCAGGGATATCCCCAAACTCTGATGTCCCCTGACTGCTTCCAGGCACAGCTGGTTCCTTAGTTGGATTGTGACCACACCAGCTGCGGCCATACCAGCTGCTGCCTCTGACTGCTCAGCTCTATGGACCATGGGGGTAGGGGATAGGATGGCAGCCTTCCTGGTGATAGGAACGCAAAGCTATAGAACTGGACAGAACCGTGCCCAGTTTTCTGATCATGAAAGATCTGAAGGAGAATGAGTGCTGAGGAAAAGAAAATGTGACTAGACGAGACTTGTTTTCTCCAACTTTATTTTTTAGCCTTTCAAAAACTCTTTAGTGCAAACAGTTTATAATGGGAAAGAGTAGTGTTTTACTAAAGAGCCATTGTTGTCAGCTCAGAAACAAGTCCCTGTGCTCGAAGAAGGCAGTTTTGAAAATGGCAAGTGCAGTGTGTGCATGTCTTGTGGCTGCTGTACAGACTGGAGGGCAGAAGTCCGACATGGTCATCTGGGCTAAAGCCAAGGGTCAAAGCTGGCTCCTCTGGAGGCTTCTTTTCCAGCTTCCAGAGGCTCCGCAGGCCTTGACTCATGGCCCCTTCCTCATCTTCCAAGCCAACCACGGCCAGTGACTCTTCGTATGTGGCATCCCTCTGCCACTCTGTAGCTGGGAAAGTCTCTGCTTTCAAGATATCCGTGTGACATTGGGCCCACCTGATACTCAAGGACATTCTCCCCATCTGGAAATGATCAGCTCAGTCCTGTCTGTAGAGTGCCTCTGTGAGGATCAGGGCACACACATCGGGTCTGGGGAGAGAGAGGTATGCATTTTGGGGCCAGTATCCTCCCAACATAGCTGGCTGGTGTTAGGTTGTGAAACTGTGGTTTCTGAAGAAACGAAAAATAGTTAACAACCTTCTATCATCTTTTATTCTAAAAGTGAAATTTACCTGTTTTTCCACTGATGAATTCCTTGTAAAAGAAATAGAATTCTCGTTTGTAAAAAACTAGAATGCAGCCGAAACCAGTTTGGCTCAGTGGATAAAGCGTTGGTCTGCGGATTGAAAGGTCCCAGGTTCGATTTCGGTCAAGGGCATGTACCTTGGTTGTGGTCACATCCCCAGGTGGGGGTGTGCAAGAGGCAGCTGATCGGTGATTCTCTCTCATCGATGTTTCTAACTCTCTATCCCTCTCTCTTCCTCTCTGTAAAAAGTCGATAAAATATATTTTTAAAAACAACAACAAACTAGAATACTATTTTAAAACCACAGACTCTGTTTTCATAAAGACTCCGAGCCTGCCTTTCCCAGAGTGGGCAATCCCTCTTCTCTCTGTGGATCCACACCTTCTTTCTTAGCACTTACGCTGTTGCAAGAGGTAGTGGGTTGGCTGAGTATTGTGGTCATTGTTGCTCCACTGTGTATGGCCCACAAGTGACCCTGGGAGGTGGTACCATAGGCATATAATTTGAAGAAGGAGTGGAGTTCAATGCCCAAGTAAAAACCCTCATAGCTATAGCATTTCACTGTCATGAATATAAAGCCTCAGAAATTTCCTTTTTTACCTCCCCATCCTGGCCTTCTGGAGGTCAAGGCACCAGATGACCTTCCAGCTGCGAGAACACCAGTTGGGCTGGGTTGGAGGTGGGCCTGGATGTAGGGGTGCTCATGAGTGGTAGGGTTACCTAGACTCTGTCTCTGAGCCCTCACCAGGTCCCGACCTCCAGGCACAGTCCAGGGTGCTGACTCTGGTTGTCATGGGGCCTGTGCATTGGTGATTTGTCTCTGGAACTTGGTCTCACCCCTGGGGAGTTCTGCTATCCTTTCTCAGTCTCTTCTCTCCCATCTGCTGCTCCTCGTGCAGAGGTCTTCTTGGCTCCACCTGGATCATTGAGTGTTGTAACTCACACCCATGTTTCTGCTATTTCTTAAACTCGATGGTCAACTCTTGGGGGGGGGGGGGGGGCTTCTTCATCTCCCCTGACTTTCAAATGCTCCAGGGGCTCCAGGAAAAGCTGAGGAATGTGTCCTCCCTGCTGGTAGAGAACATGGTGCCTTTTCTGTCCCTCCTGACTGCCCTCCATGTCTCCCTTTTGCGATCCAGAACAACAGTGATTTCCCAAGGAATTCATGTGCTTTATCTCCTGCTCCAGAACCAACTTTCCATCCCAGTGCCCTCAGGCATGCCTTGGGCCACATCCCACTTTCAGAAACATGAGCTGGTTTCTTTCTTCCTATAAGGCTTAAAAAGCCATCTTTCAGTCCGATATGTGGATGTTTGAGGGAGGTCCCTTGCAGATGTGGAACAACCTGACACACACATACATTCACACGCGCTCACCACACACACACACACACACACACACACACACACACACACACACACGTTACTCCAGATGATTTGCAAGCAGGCGGACCCCACAGAGTGGAGTGCAGTGCTGGGTCGTTATCCTTGGTCCATGCGGTCATGTGGAATCTGCATGCATGACTTTCACTCTGCCCTTTTACCCATTATGGTGCTAATGGTGTTTGCTTTGTCCCTCCAGGTGCTTCAGGGGGCCCAGCTGATAGCCGTGGCCTCCTCAGACCCCACAGCCACAGGCATGGATGGGTCACCTCTCCAGGGCAGTGACATCCAGGTCCAGTACGTCCAGCTGGCGCCTGTGACTGACCACACCACAGCAGCTCAGGTAGGTCTCTGTGGACAAGTCCTGGGTCTTCTGTAGGTATGAACACAGCTTGGTTATTTCTACTTTTGACGTTCTTCAGGGAGGAAGGTGAGAAGTTAGATCTTGACCCAGGTGCTAGTCTTAAACTGATTCTTGAGCTATTTTGTTTTGTGCAAATGTTTATAAACTCAGAAGCAAAAAGTAAATTCTGGTCAGTTCTCCTTAGAAAGTAAGCAGTTCCCGTTGATCTGAGACCTTGCTGCTCCTCTGTGTGGCCAGCACCCGGCTTAGGGCCCAGGGGTTGGCACTTCTGCTGGCTCAGCCCTCCGCCTTTTCCCAGGGGCAGGTTTTTGGGGCACTTGCCTCTGAGCAACCTGCTGCTATAGGGTGGAAATGTAGGATGGCCTGGCTAGCTGTGGTATCTGCACTTGGTCCTGGGGCACCATTTGGCCAGGTTTCCAGCTTCCCACACCATACGTTTAGCATAGCAGTCTGACGCTGTGGCGGGAGCTCTGCATTTGTAAGGCCCACCTGTGTTTGCCATGTGCTTGTTTGGCATGGCTGCTTGAGCACCGATGAGCTTCCACGGAAGCCTCTTATCATCTGGTTTTGCTGGATTTCTGCTTAAGCTGTCCTTATCCATGCTTCCTGGAAGCACTGGAAACTCGGCTTTCACGCTCCATTTGGACACTTTCTGAAGTGTCAGATGAGAGAATCACTTCTTTAGATATTTGAAGTGTTCTTGGAGCTGTCCCACGATGAGTGTGTCAGTGTAGCAAGCATTGTGGCCTCCCTAGAGTTACCCTGTTTGGGGGGCACCCAGGCCTGCCTCTCATCCCCTTGTTCTAGTGGGGAGAGCTTGAATAGCCTGGCAGCCTGATCCCCTTTAGGGGACAGTGTGAGTGGTTCTGTGTGGTTGATTGGTTGTGTTTAGAACAACCAGTTCTAAAGTCAATGCATATTCCTATTTCATGAGGGTGACCACAGGGTTGGTCCTGAGAGGGCAGTGGGTCGTGGGAACAAGCAAGGCTGCTGGTGCTGTGAAAGGCACAGAGAGGCTGGTGGCCTGCATTCTCAAACTTCACAGGCCGTGGTGTTAAATCACTAACTTTACTGCTGAATAAGACAAATGCCATTGTGATGCAGGTGCTTGGCCCTAGGAAGGCAGGGGGCATGTATCTGGGCAGCCTCGGCCTGCGGAGGCCTCAGAGCTCCCTGCCCACAGGACCCTGTGGATGTTCTGTTCTAGCCTGCTAGGTATTGGCTCCTGCCCTGCCCTCTGCATGGTCTGCTGTCCTTGTTGGGTCTGCTCCTCTCCTTTTTGCTAAGCCTCTTGTGTCTCAGTGCTGTCAGCCTTTGACATTCAGAATTAAAGCCCCGCATTTCCAGGTGGTCTCTCTTCCCTCCTGTACTCTGCTCTGCACTGTGCTAGGTGTCGTTGCTCTCCATTGTTCTGGGAGGAAAGGGAGTTCTCATTTGGTTTTCTTGCAGCCTTGTGTGGTGGTTGCTGAGGAATGGAACCAAGTAAATTGCTCAAGGTACCCTGGTGACCTGGTGCCAGCTCAGTGAACTCAGCAGTCCCTGAGGACTTAAATTCTTATTCTCCTGACTCACCGTGAGGCCCCTGTTGGCCCAGAGTTTGGGAAGAGTGTCCTAAAGAAGGTGTATGCCTCACCCCCCACTAGACTCCTCCAGCCGCTCCCACAGCCCAGGCTCTTCCCACTCTGAGTAGTGTTGGGCTTCCTCAGAGCAGTGACCCCAGAGGCCCTTCCACTGTGGGGAGGGATGAGGCATGGCCTGGAGCCGGTAATGGGGTGTGTGTGTGTGGGGAGAGGAATTCTCTCTGACCAGTTTTCTGTTGTGATTTAAGAACAAACCTGTCCTAGAAGAAACCTCCCCTGTGTACCCACCTTGTCCCACGCCAGGTGATGGTGTCTGATACCCACACTGTTGTGAAAGGTCGTGTTTAAAGGCAGTTCACTCCTGCTGCTAGGCAGGCACAGAGGTTGGCACGGTGTGTGCTCTTCAAGTCTGGGGCTTCTGTGGTGGATCATCTTGCATGTTGTAAGTTTGTCGTCATTACAGATTTCAGAGTTGAGGAAAGCTGTGTCCATTTTAGCCCCTTGCCACTTGGCTTCCTGGCATCGTTTTTTGTCTCTGTTCACACCTGGCAGGTCTCGAGATCCATTCCTTTAGGACAGATAGCAGAGCAGAGAATGAGATATATGCATACTGTCCCAGCCTGTAGCCCCTCTCCCATCTGCAGACACCAGCACTGTCTTGTCCACTTTTCCTCGTCCAGAAATGTGTGAGGAAACCCTCATCTTGTCTGTGTTAGCTGGTCCCTTGTTTGTTGCTTTTTTGTGGGCTCTTAGCGTGGGTGATGCCTGTGCTGAGTCCTTCCTCTGCTTCAAGGAAGCACTGTTAAATGCCATTTGTATAGTATTTCAAAACCTCAGCCTTGAACTGCAGTAGGGGTTGTAGCGCCAGCCCCCATGCCCAGGGACTTCTGCTTTCCGGTCTGTGGCTTTCTTTGTCTCTTTTCAGTTGCCATGCCGGGTTCCTCCAGCTAAATTTTCTGCCAGGGAAGCTAGGACTGCCTTTGAGGGTCTAATCTTTGTGACATTGCCTTTGACAGGCAGCTTAGAGGACCCTAAAAATCCCAAACTCTCCATCTGGGAGCCAGTTCTGCATGGTTTAGATGGGTGACTGGTGACTTATTCCAAGATTATATTTTTCCCTTTAATGTATCTTAACATTTTAAATATGCATTTAAAATGTCTTAATATCTATGACCCATTGTTTAGAACTTATGTCTTTAAGGGGAAAAGCTAGCTGTCCTTAAAATGCTTTTTTGGAACATTGGAACAGTTTTTAATAAGAAAAGGCAAAATGATAACTGAAATTCTAGGCAAATATATTAGTTTAAGGATGTGTTAACCACTTCAAGAGTATCCCAGTGATAAGCAGGGGGTAGGAATAGGAAATCAGCACCTGAGCAAGCAGGAGGTCCCGCAAGGAGGGATCACAACCCGGATTCGTCAGAGCTGCTGCAAAGCAGCTCAGGTTTTGGGAGAGTCATCACTCAAAGCAGGGGTGCGCTTAGGACCCGGACCTTTCAGCTCTGCTGTGTGTTTGCTCTGTGCGTGAAAACGGTGTTTTGTGACCGGTGAGTGTCCTGGACTTGAGTTGGTGGGTACTTTTATAGAAAAGCCCTCCTCTCTCCCCTCTTGCAGACGGCCGAGACCCTGCAGCCCACCCTGCAGCCCGAAATGCAGCTTGAGCATGGAGCCATCCAGATCCAGTGATGTAGGACGGGCTGCTTGACCATGACAGGACCCAAGGTGGAGCCGTCGCCGCTCTGCTCTCAGTGCCGGCTACAGCCAACCACCCAGTTGTACACGTGCCCGGCCCCGTGGCTTTGAATGGAGGTGACCGCACGTGTTCTGTTAAAGTGCATCTGGAGCCTCATCCACTGGGGAAAGTATCCCAGTAAATAACAGATGACAACAGCCGCCAGCCCTCCAGAAGACCCCTTCGTTTGAGTCCCACTGTTGTTATCTAGAGAAAGAGTGGGAAGCACAGTGTGGATTGCGTTAAGTTCACGCAGAAAATCAAGAACTACAATATTTTTCTCTGTTTAAACAGCTTTTTTTTTATTTGCTATGGTGTTTATAACAAAAAAGAAAATTAAAAAAAAAAAAAAAAGGAGTAGCAGAAGCCTTTTGCTGTGTGCTCTGTTCAGTGAAATGAAAATAGGTATTTGCAGAGACAACTAACATTTTGATGGAAATATTGCTTACCTACTTTTCTAGGGGGAAATGCTCTCAGCACTGTAATTAAGCATTTTTAATGAAATAAATGTATTTATGACCACAACAGCTTTAATGTTATTTCCTTTGAAGAGGTGGTTTGCCGAGGCTAGCCTCCCTCCTGGTGGGTGCTCCGGGATCCCCCACAGTCCTTTCCACTGTGCTGACAGTACTTGTGGGGTTCTTGCAAAGGGAAGTGTGTAGCTTATTCTGTCAGAACCCTGTAAGGGGCCTGGAATGTCAGCTCCCCCATATGCAGAGCGCTGCCCAGTGGAGTGCTCCCTCTCAGACACAGGCATCCCGAGACAGTGGGAGCCTGCTTCAGCATTAGCAGGTAACCCGGGCTGTCACATCATGACCATTGTCAGCTCCAAAAAGTTACAGCTCCAGGGCTTCTTAGAGAAAGTCATATCCAGAGGAGCCTGTCTCATCATCTAAAATTAAAACACAAAGGCAGATTTTAAATGTCTAAGGAGTTCACTATAATCATGCCTATGATTGTTGATTCACTAAATGTTTAAACTCATTAAACAAAAGTGTACACATATAAAAAACAGAGAAATCAGTTCCAAGCACAGAGGTGGTTTGCACTACATGTGATCAGCGTGTGGGGCCTGCTTCTCTCACACGGTTTTGGCAGTTACATTAGTGGGGTTTGTGGACTTCATAACAAAATCATATTCACTGACTTTGACTATGACGACTCAATGCTTTTTCTGGGGAGCATTCAAAGTTGCCATTCCAAGTAGTCCTGTCTCTTCCCCACTCCACCCCATAGCGGTTCCTGGGCTGGGTTGTTTACACCAGGGCATGCTGGAGGGTGAAGATGGGGGTGGGGACAGCATGTTTAAATTTCATGCCTCTATGCATCCTCCAGGAATAGTCATGGTGAGATGAGGACTCAGAACCTCCCTGGATAGTCACCTGAGAGAGGAGATGGACATGAAAAAAAGACCAGTCATAATGCTGGAAGGAAAAGGTCTAATTTAACACGTATCTGGACTCCCAGATGAATAGAGAGAACAGTAGAAATATAACACTGAAAGGATTCAGGAAGCAGAATAGATTCCAAGTAGAATTAAAATAAATCAATGCCTGGACACACACAGAACGTTAAAGACAAAAATAATTCTGAAAGCAGCCAGAGAGAAAGGTGAGACCACCTACAGTGGAATGAAGGAACCATAGCAAACTGCAACAACCACTGGACCTCTGAAGCAGAGGGTAGTACCAATGAGCACTGAGAGAAAAACATTATCTACACAGAATTGGGTCTGTAGTGAAACTGTTGTTCAAGAACACCGGTGACAATCATGATTTGATCCAGCAGTTCCACTCGAGGTGTACGTGCAGGAGAATTGAAACTGTAAGTCCACATGTAAACTTATATGATATAAGAATATTCATAGTAGTACTATTCACTGTGGCCAGAACTGGGAGACAACCAGGTGTCCATCAAAGGATGAATGGATAAATAAAATGTAGACCATCACCACAATGGAATATTATTCAACCATAAACAGAAATAAAGCTGGGTCTACAACATGGATGAACCTCAAAAACATCATTTTGAGTGAAAGAAGCCAGTTATAATAGGCTGCATATTATATGAAATGTTCGGAATAGACAAATGCATAGACAGAATGCAGTTTAGTGGTCGCCAGAGACTGGAGGAAGGGAGAAGAAGTTAGGGAGAAGGGGTTTATATTTGAGGCGATGAAAATGTTTGGGAATTAGTGGTAATGTTGCCACTATAAATTTACTAATAAAGTCATTCAATTGCACACTAAGAAGGTTAATTTTTTGGAATATAAATTATATCTCAAAGCCACTAAGAATTACTTGTAGATGATTCCTCAAGAAAGGAAGTAGTAAAGGATTTTCTTCAAGATAAGGAACAGATTCCAGGAGGAAGTTCTGAGCAAGAAGTAGTGGTGAACAACTTAGAACAGTAAACACACAGATATGTCTAAGTGTTCTGTACAAACCGTCTCACAATGAAGTTGTCAAAAACAATAAAATATTGGAAAAACATTACAATGTAAGTTGAGATGGCCTGGAAAGGTGTTGAATGGTTTTAAAGCTCCCTTTTATTGCCCTGGAACAAAAGGATCAGGATACTGTACAATCTTAAGACATGAAACTCAACTATCTGTGACAAACATTTAAGAAACAGTATATAAACAGTGAGTGAGCAGTGGGGTATTTCCACTATGAGATCAAGGAACTTGACCTACTTGATGTGTAGAGCACACATTCTTCCATGTGCTTTTCGGAACTCGATCGAAGTTGGCCACAGGCCAGACCAGAGAGAAGGTCAGATAAGAAATCAAAATGGGAATTAGTGGTATGTTGCCACGACTCTCTAAATTCTTTTTAAAATCCTCATCTGAGGATATGTTTATTAATTTTTTTTTTGAGAGAAAAGAGAGAGAATAGAAGGGGTGGGGAGAGAGACACAGAGAAAAACATTGATTGGTTGCCCTCTATACACCCCCAACAGGGAATTAAACCTCAAACATAGGTATGTGCCCTGACTGGGAATCGAACCTACAACCTTTTGGTTGTATGGGATGATGTTCCAGTCAACTAAGTTACCCAGCCAGGGTGGGAAGGTATTTTTAACTGACAATTAAATATGACAAGTTGGTATAAAACTTATGGAATCCTTTGGTTGTATTTCCAGAGTGGGACTACTGGATCATATGGCAGTTCTATTTTGAACATCCAGACTGTTTCCCCTTGTAACCAGACCAATTTATAGACTCTCCACCACTGCACAAGGGTTTTCTGAACTTCACATCCCCGCCAGTCCTTATTATCTCTTATATTTTTTATAATAGCCATTCTAGCAGGTGTAAGGTGATACCTCATTGTGCTTTTGATTTTTCTGATGAATAGTGACGTTGAGTATCTTTTTGTATATCTGTTGGCCATGTTTGTCTTTAGGAAAGTGTTTATTCAGTTCTTTGGTTTTCTTCTATGAGTTTTATGTTGCAGGTCTCATATTTAAGTCTTTAATGTACTTAAGATTTGTGAGTTGTTGTTGTTGTTTTTTTTAAAATCTTTTTCCTTGTATTTATTTAAAATATATTTTTTATTGTTGACAGTATTATACTGATGTCCCTCATTTCCCTTCTACCTATCCCCCACCCCACCCCAGGCCTGTCTCTGAACTATGCTTATAAGTTCTTTAGTTAATCTCTTCCTGCCCCTCCCAACACCCTTTCTCCTGAGGTCTGTCAGTCTATTTCATTCATCCTGGACCTGTTTTGTCTCTGGATCTATTTTGTTCATCAGTTTATTTTGTTCCTTAGATTCCACATGTAAGTGAGATCATGTGATATTTGTCTTTTTCTGACTGGCTTATTTCTCTTAGCATAATAGTGTCGCGATCCATCCATGCTGTTGAAAAGGATAAGAGCTCCTTCGTTTTTGCAACTGCATAGTATTCCATTGTGTGACTGTACCACAGCTTTTTTATCCATTCATCTACTGTTGGACCCGTGGGCTGTTTCCAGATATTAGCTATTATAAATAACACTGCTGTGAACATAGGGATGCATATATTCTTTCTGATTGGTGTTTCAGGATTGTTAGAATATATTCCCAAAAGTGGATTCACTGGGTCAAATGACAGTCCATTTTTAATTTTTGAGGAAACTCCATACTGTGTTCCACTGTACCAGTCTGCATTCCTACCAGAAGTATATTAGGGTTCCCTTTTCTCTGTATTCTTGCTGAGACTTAATTGTTGATTTACGGATGGTAGCTATTCTGGCAGGTGTGAGGTTTTAATTTGCATCTCTCTGATGATTAGTGACACTGAGCATTTTTTTCATATGTCTCTTGGCTATTTGTGTGTCCTCTTTGGATAAGTATCTACTCAGGTCCTTTGCCCATTTTTTAGTAGACATGTTTGTCTTCCTTTTGTTGAGTTGTATGAGTTATTTATATATTTTGCAAATTAACCCCTTATCAAATGTATCATTGGCAAATATGTTCTCCCATACAGTAGGTTACCTTTTCATTTTGAGGATGGTTTCTTTTGTTGTGCAGAAGCTTTTTAGTTTGACATCGTCCCATTTGTTTATTTTTTCCTTTGTTTCTTTTGCCTTGTGAGATGTATTGGTGAAAATTTTGCTATGTGAAGTGTCTTGAGATTTTACTGCCTATATTTTTTCTAGTATTTTTATGGTTTCACGGTTTACAATTAAGTCTTTTGTCAATTTTGAGCTTATTCTTGTGTAAGGTGTAAGTTGGTAGTCTAGTTTCATTTATTTTTGCATATACCTGTCCAGTTTTCCCAGCACCATTTATTGAAAATTGTCTTTACTCCGTTATATGCTCTTGCCTCCTTTGTCAAATATTAATTGACTGTAAAGGAGTAAGTTGATTTCTGGGGTCTCTGTTCTGTACCATTGATCTTTTTTCCTGTTCTTGTGCCAGTGCCAGCTTGTTTTGATTACAATGGCTTTGTAGTGACCCCTCCAACT